ACATTTGCCCCATCTACAAGCGGAAATCCAAGCGTGATGTTCGCAACTACCGTCCAATCGCTCTGCTTGAAATCCCCTCGAGGATTTTCGAGCGTATCATAGCTCAAAAGTTGGTTCACCATGCCATTACCATGAACATCCTCGCCCCTGACCAAGCCGCTTTCCTACCTGGCCGTTGCACTGGTGATGTGATGTGGGAATTCATGGCTGACGCAATTGGTGCTATGAACGAACGCAGCTGCTGGCATGTTCTCCAAACTGATATTGCTGGTGCTTTTGACCGTGTCGACCGACATCTCCTTCTCCTCCGCTTGGAGAACTGTGGAATCAGGGGTAAGCTACTCAACCTCCTTCGTAACTACTTGTCTGAGCGTCGCTTCAGAGTTGTCTGTGGTGGCACGAGTTCCTCCCTTTTCTGCGAGTCGGCTGGGGTCTGTCAAGGTTCCTGTCTGGGTCCAGTTTTGTGGCTATACTTTTTCTCGCCTATTCACTCCTCCGCTGTTGGTAATGCTGGCCCCGGTCTCTCTACATACACCTTCGCTGATGACCACACTCAAGGCTCTAAGGACCCTCACTTACTAACCAAAGGTGAAGCGGGCGCTGTCGCCTTCACAAACGGTGCCAGAATTACTATGGAGCCTGCTAAAAAGGTTGTCAGCACGTATGCTAATAGAGCACCTAAGTCTCAACAGGAGTGTGCCATCCTACTTGGTCTCAGGTTGGATGCTGCTCTGTCCATGTCCAACCACTTTGACTACGTTTTGAGGCAGGTCTCCGTGAAGACTGCACAGCTACTACGACTACAACCCTACTTGGATACCACTCAACTCGCGAGATGCTTCAAACAATACTGTTGGCCGCTTCTGGAATATGGTTTGCCCGGCTTCATCCATGCCCCAGATGCCCAACTGAAGAGGCTTGACGCTTGTCAAGACCGTTTCATCGAGCTTACTGGATGTACGCTACCTAGCCTGGCGTGGCGCCGATTTGTGGGGATGATGTCCTGGCTCTATAAAGTAGTAGTCCTCAGAGATGGCCCTCCATCTCTAGTGTCGCGTTTTATACTAGTAGACATCATTCTGCGTTACTCGTAGCTCACTCGGCTGAGAGCAAAAACACGGGTATCAGTTGGTAGTTTCGA